CGCAAGTTTCTGGGCTCAAATTGTGCGTACGCCAGTTTTATAAATCCGACCCCTGCTGCAGTGTGTGCAAACCTGGTCAAGAACTACAGGAAACGTCTGATCTCTGTAATTGCAAACAAAGGTTTCTGTACCAAATATTAAGTTTCATTTTTCTGGTGTATCAAATACTTATTTCACACAATAAAATGGAAATTAATTATTTAAAGATCATACGTTGTATTTTTTCTGGATTTTTGTTTTAGATTCCATCACTCACAGTTGAAGAGTACCTATGATAAAAATTACAGACATCTACAAGCTTTGCAAGTGGGAAAACCTGAAAAATCAACAGTGTATCAAATACTTGTTCTCCCCACTGTATAAACAAGCTTAACATACAAAAACATTGTTATTCCAATAAATAATTCCGTTGGCGGACATTCTTCGCGACGGAGAATTTTAAGCCCTGCAGGTTGATCAAAAATTTACTACCAAGTCAAGTTCTGTTTGTTATCTTTTACTACTTTTCACTGGCCTTAATTTGAGCTCTTTTAACTTACTACCTTTTACCACCCTGCGGCAACCCTGATCATGAGTGCTGATATATAAAAAAAAGAGAAAAAAAAAAAGAGTATTGTAATTTTTTTTCTGATTCAATCACTGTAATAATATCTTGATTTAATCACTGTCACAAGGAAAAGTATTGAGTTGCTTGTGTAATCATTTTAGATCTCATGTTGTTAAAACCAAGTCATGACCGTGTTACGTGACTTCCTCGCAGCGAATCAGGAGTGTTGAAACGCTAACAGTAGGTTGTGTTCTTTTTTTTTTTTAGCAGTCTAGAAGCAGCATCTGACGAGGACAGATAGAGAGGTTTTAGCTCCGTATTTCTCCCCTTTTGGGAGCATTTATTATTTTCTTTTATTTTTAGTTTATTTTTGTAGTTTAAGGACGCAGTTTATTTGGAAAATTAAGCTATTCAGAATATCTGGTTCTGATCCGTCACGACCTGGACGCCTTCCTCCTGTGCAGCAGCCTGACCGCAGACACTGCCTCAACGTGTCCAGCTGTACCCGAACGGGACCTTCCAAGAGCGAGCGCAACTGGTGATCATACCCGCTCGATACCTCCCAGGTACCCAGGGGCACCTAGGGATGGGTACCGAATTCGATACTTTTTGATGTAAAGACCGAATTCTGTCGGTACTACTGAGTATTTATTCATATAACATCAAACGGTACCATGTTTCAGTACCTAAACGCATCATTGTGACGGTTTGGCGTAAGAGTGGTGAGTTTTCCATGCTTGTCCTGAARGCAGCATTGRGACCGTATTGGKGTAAGAGTGGTGAGTTTTCCATGCTTGTCCTGAACGCAGCATCACGCAAAAGCGTAATGACGTCAGCAGCAGCTGCTGGTAAACAGGCAGAGCTATGGGTCTGAACGTAGCTTCAAAGCCTCGCAGCTCCCGGAGTAAAACTCGCCAAACACATCACCTCTGAATTATCTGGTGGATTAATTATCTTGTGAGCACGACATTTGCTTGCTCAAAGTAAATAAAGTACCACCACTTTCTTTATTTCATCCACCATTAAACAGAGAGCGGCAGAGGAAAACAATAGAGGCACTTGRTGACAGTCKGAACACGTCTGACCTGAAAGAGCACAAGCAGCCAGCTAAAGTGTTGGGRGCGTTTTGGATGCTCAAAATGTAGCTTGAATACATTTTATTTATTTTAACTCCATCCTCTTTTTGCTTATTTGATTTAAATTAAGCTTATTTGCCTTCCATGGACCTCCATCACACAATTTTTCTAGCGGGGAAATGACATCAATAGAAACACGTGGAGCTGGATTTTAATTTGTGCAATAAGAAAAAACAGCCTTGTTGTTTTCAAGAGTTTGCACTTTAAAGCAATAAGTTACACAACTGATGTTACAATACATAGAGTTGGATGTTGTCTTGATATTTGTTAAATTTTATATGTTGAGAAATATGTTAAATAAAAAATAAAAGTTTATTATTGAAAAAACAACACACACAAAGTACCGAAAATTGGCACCGTTAAGTACCGGTACCGATTCCCAGGTACGGGATACTGTATTGGTACCGAATCYATTCAAACGTCAAAGGTACCCATCCCTAGGGGCACCTGTCCTGACTGACGTCGAAATGGTAGGAAAGACCATCTGTCTGTCTGCGTGGTGTGCTCAGCTGTGGTGATGAGAAGAAAGTCCTAGTTTTTGAGCGGACCCAGACAGGAGTTCTGATAGTTAATTTCCCTTATAAATTACGTCCCCCACTTTGATAAAGAAATGAATGGTTTCTTTTGGTTGTTGGCTTAGGAAAGCTTTCATTTATTCCACTAGAATAGAAATAGCTTAGTGTGAGTGATTCAGTAACAGATGGTATCAGAAGCTAGTCATGCTGAAGTGAAGTCACGGTTGTGATTAATTTGTGAAGGTGATTATACAGCTGTGTCTTGCTGCCAAATGACTTGTGATGTATTTTTCTCTCTGAATCAATCAATATAGGTATATTTTAACAGCTAATTGCTTTTGTCTGTGTTTTTTATTGTGTTTTACGAGTTGAAACTGCCAAAAATTAGCGCCTTCATTTCTTTTAGATTGATCCTAAAATCTAGACTTGGTTTTTTTTAGATAATTTACCCATTATTAAATTAAATTTTATCGTGGTGCCCCTCCTCTAACAAATAAAAGAAATCTTATAATTGAGTGCTAATTTTAATTCGCCTACAATATATCAATATAGATAGATGTATCGTTACACCCCTAGTATGTAATGCAGTAATAATAAAATATGATCAATTTCTGCCACAATGAAAATAAGTGGGTTTGTCAAATTACGTCAATATTCTTTTATTATAAATAGGACATTTTGGGCTAATTAAAGCCTGTGAATTCAACATTTTTTTCAGCTTTTTAGTTAGCCTTTTGCTACTTTTATTTTTTAGCTAGCCTTTTGCTACTTTAGTTTTTTAGCTAGTCGTTTGCCATTTTTATTTTTTAGCTAGCATTTTAGCCTTTAGCTACTTTTATTTTTAGCTCCTTTTGCTATTTTTAGTTTTGGCAAGCCTTTTAAACATTTTAGTTTTAGCCAATGTCTTATTTTTACATTATAACCAGACTTTAGCCTCTTGTAGCTAGCGTTTTCCTACTTTTAGCTTGTATTTATCTTTTAGCTTCTTGAGCAACATTCAGTAATCATTCATAAACTGTGAATTGTTTTGTCTCTGCTGATATTTTTATGCTCCAAACCTCACGCATTATTTCACAGAACTACCTGCTCCATCCCACCAAACGTCTCCTGAAGCCCCCCAGCTGACGTCAGGTGGCGACTGGCTCGGGTCATGGCATACATGTGACCAGAGGAGGAGATCCCGTTGGCCAGCTTCTGCGCCATCTTCATCACCAGCACTCTCAGACGCTCTTCGATGTCAAAATGGGGGCTGAGCGACAAAAACACATTTATTGGTTTGTAAAACCTGAAAGGCTCCTCAGATGAAACGATCAGATTCACAGTACCTGTTGAATATATCACTGCACAGCTGAAACATGTGAGGAAGGTTCCTGTCCAGACAGGAAGAGGACAAGAGGACACCCTGGGACCAAGAACAACGAGGAGGGAAGTTTAATGTAGCAGAAAATCATTTTTATCCAAAAAGAGGAAACGGGTCATTTAAATGTTATGGTTGAAATGTTGCTTTAATGTCATCATCCATTTCTTCATCAGCATTCCTCCTCAGAGCAGCTTTCTGTCACCGTGACTTTAGAATATAAAGCTAACTTAACTTTGCCGAGACATATTTCCAGTCATTTTCTAGATTTGTTTTCCAGATCTGACATGTAGGCTGTACACAGATCGTCAGGGATTCAGAACCTCGGTTCTGGCACCAACCTGCTCAAACGTGTCCATTTGGGTCATGTCATGGCCGATTAGAATGGAGACAGACGTCCTCCCCGTCCTCAGCCACATCTGCTGGGCCTGTTGTCTGTAGTCCAGAGCTCCACAGCCCATCCTAACCGAACAGTTAACAACTCTTAGTCACTTCTTTAAAATGCACAGTTCATATCAACGCATCCCTTCTTTCCTCACAGGTGACCGACACAGTTAATGATGAGAAAGCCTGTCCATGCAACCTGGACCCTGATAAGTGGTTAAAAATAYACATTTCTTTGGCTTTCTTCTATCGTCTCTAATCCTCAGTTTTGACATTTAGATCTGAGCTTGTAAGCAGGGTTAGGCAGTGTTCTTTTTTATTACTTAATGTGCACGAGCTTTTTTCCAACCCAACACCCCTTCCCAAAAGAGAAAAACTAAAAGAGAAACAGTGTTTTTCTTCCATCATAGTTTGCTTTGAAAGGATTACAAAATTAAGGAATAAAGGAAGTTGAACACTTTTAGTGTAAAACAGAAGGATCATGAGCCTTTTTTATAAGCCTTTTATTGAATCTCTTTTAACTTTTTCTATAGTTGCTTGGTTTGGAAATCTAAGTGCTCAGAACAAAAACTGCTTAAACAAAATTGTTACTGCGGCAAACAAGATAATTGGGGTAGCCCAATCCCCCTGTAAGAAAATTCGGTTTTCGTTAACTGACATCGAGACGAAACCACTTAAATATTGAATAGATTAAAATGTGAAGAGTTTTGGAACCATACAACCCAGATCTGGCTTACGAGCGAACTTTAATGCTTACGCTGAAGCCATCAGAGCCGCGCTGCTCCAAACCTGAAGTTCCGGCCTTTTATATACAAGGATCTTCAGTGCCTGGTATGCCCACTACAGGCCTATGGCTGAATCGCAGGCAACTCGTACAGAAAATATCTTTTCTAATGGATTTATAACGGTATTTCTATGTGTTGTCATGATACCCTGATGCATCTCAGTAATCCAGGTAAAATATCAAAAGGAAAAAAATTGTATAGGTCTTCTGGACGGGTTCTTCTCTAATGAAACGTTTCGTCTCTCCTCCAAGAGACTTCTTCAGTCTGAGAGTTTCAGGCNTGTCCTCCTCAGCCATCCCCTGCAACCCGACGCTGAACGACGCTTCTTTAAGGCTCCCGTCGTATCTGCAGAACAAGATATATTAAAACACAAAGATGCTTCAGGTCAGCATGAAAATAAAACCCTTTAAAATTAAATTTCAGATCAAGAAACTCCTCTACGAACCCAATAACAGAGGAGAAGTCGCTTCCTATTTTGGGTTCAATGAGAGATTTATAGAAGGGGGAGTTTGGTCCAGAGATCATCAGGGACGACAACAGGCTGAGAGTGAATCCTTCAAATGTATCAGTGATGCTAAAAAAAGAATAATCTAGAATTATTTTCAACTTTTAAGGCAAAAGTGGCTAAAAACTCAAGCTTAAAATGTGTTCTGTTCAGAACGAGTTAGAAAAGAAAGCCCTGTGTAAAACAGAGCAGGAAGTAGAGAATATGATCTTACTCTCCCAGCAGGTAGCTCACACACAGCGTGTTCTGCTTGGCTGGATCTGGAGCCAGAGCGTCAGGGCTGCAGGTCACATGATCTTCTCTCTGAGAAAGAAAAGAAAATATTAACCAGATACATCAGCACCATTAAATAACATTTTACTTCTGTAATCAGAAACTACGATCAGGTCTGCAGATCTGAAATGCACTGATTGTTTCACAGTTAATCCTGATGGTGTGAACTTACCGGCCTGGCCCAGCGAGGCTGAGGGGGGACCTCTGTGTTTGGCTCGATGCGCTCGAACTTGCACAGAGCTTCTTGTTGAATCTGCTGCAGATGATTCTCCAGGGGCAAGTCTCCGTAGGTAAAGAACCTGAACCACCAGGACACAAAAACTGATCAACTCTCATCCAGTCAGAATGTGATTTATTCTATGACGCCACCTGACGATAAGTTTACTTTTTTTTTACCTACAACCGACGGGATTGGGTTTAACGCTGCGTTCCATTTACATCATGTTCCCAGAACTGGTAAATGGTGGTGATGTCATTTCCCAACAAACCATA